AACGCGGCCCCACCTCCCAGTCGTTCCCCCCCCCCCGCCAGAAATTCAGAAGATACCGGACATTGCATGTGTCCGGTATTTTCTACTGGAGAGAGGGCGCAAATACTGGACGTCTGGTAGAAAACTGGACACCTGGCAACCCTATGCACAGCCAGCACTGGCACCATGTGTGCCCGGCCCTGGAGCCTGCTGGCCAGCCCTGTCTCCTGAGTCCTGCTCCTCCCCGGCAGCCGCTACCTTCTCCAAGAGCCTCTCCACTCCAAGCGGAGGCTCCGCTCCGCCAGCCCCGCAGCCTGGACCTGGCCATCAGGCACCCTTCCGCCTACATCATGTGGGAATCCCAGGTAGGATGCCCCTTTCCTGACTAGGGTTGCCAGATGTCTGCTATTTTCTGATTTTTTTCCCCAGCCAGGAGGCGAAAATGCCAGGCACCTGGCAACTCCACAAACACTCAGCGCCTGGCCCCCAACACCCTCCAACCCCAGCCCCCATGCTTACCTGGTTCCACAAAATGGCTGCCAGACAGAAGCCCTAGGGGAAGCTCCCCTGTTCCTATCCATGCACTCACTCTTAAAGGCTTAAAGTGCGGTTTTATTTTATTTTATGGCTTAAGTCATGGAGTCCTTTTTTTTTGTTCAACAACTTCGATCTCCCCCCTGCCCCCTCCCTCTTTTTTCCCCCCTTCAACAGAATTTTTTCCCGGTGTTGGTTTCCCCACCAACAGCAAAAAACCTAGAGCCGGCCCTGCGCGTCAGCCACAACAGTAGCACCTCCCCACGAGTGGAGCCGCGTGGTGCGGGCTGTGCCCAGAGAGGAGGCTTTTACAAATTAGGGGGGCGGGTGGGCTGGGCCTGGGGGATTACACATGGGGATGGGGGAGGGCAAGCAGGGTTGGCAGGGGACGCTGGCAGCCATGCAGGTCTCCCCTGGGGGAGGAAATATTATGGGCTGGGACACGCAGAGGTCAGAGGTCTGCTTGCAGCACACGTTTACCTGCAATGCCTCGCAGCCAGCTCCCCTCCTCCACAAGCTGAGCCTGACCTGTGAGGACTCCTGCAGTCAGGCTGTCGGGGGGGAGGGTGGTGGCAAGAGAGAGCATGCCTGCCGGCAGCCATGCAGGTCTCCCCTGGGGGAGGAAATATTATGGGCTGGGACACGCAGAGGTCAGAGGTCTGCTTGCAGCACACGTTTACCTGCAATGCCTCGCAGCCAGCTCCCCTCCTCCACAAGCTGAGCCTGACCTGTGAGGACTCCTGCAGTCAGGCTGTCGGGGGGGAGGGTGGTGGCAAGAGAGAGCATGCCTGCCACGTCGGCCACAGCAGCAGCGCCTCCCCGCAAGTGGAACAGAGCGGCACTGAGCCAGGCGGCAGAGCACGCCTGCAAGAACTGGCAGGGGTGGCTGTGTTGGTGCATGAGCAGGAGTGGCAAGTTGAAAAATCACATGACAGACACACCGACAAGAATGATGACCACTTAATAGAAAGACTGTCTAAATAAAAATGATATTACACTACATCTGTTTAGGACAGATATTCTTAAATCAGCAGGCCCAGATAGCCTGCAATCAACAGTGCTAAGAGTTGGCTGAAGATCTCTTTAGTCAGCTGGTTTTCATTTTTAATAGATCTTAGAATAATGGAGAAATTCAGCTGCATCTCCCCCAATAAAGAATGGGACATGTGAGCTAGGCAAGACTATTCCCAGACCCTCACTCTGCATCTTAGCTAAGTAGTGCAACATAGGGGCTGCCCAAGTTTCCTCCCTGCTCACCCACATCAAAGGATGCCCATCCTCACCTCTGTTCAGTTGGTGTCTGTCCAGCACTGAGTGCTGAGGTGGTGTTACGGAGCTCCTCATTGCCAGGGAGGGTTGGGATCCCATGGACAGAGCTTGAAGCGTTCAGCACATGGAGGCGGTGAAGGGCTGCGTATGGAATGAGAAAGAGAGGGGAGACATGTATTGGGATTCTGCTGGGAGGAGATTTCAACTACTCCAGTCCAGAGGTGTCTCCCAAGCATTAGGACATGCTCTATCCTCTCTGGAATACTGGGTCCAGCTATAGCAGGATGTTGGTAGTGCCTCACAGGCTCACATTCTGCTCCAAAGGGAGCCAGAGATCCCATTTTCCACTCATTTTAGGAGTGAGATGGTGCCGGTACAAGGAAATTTTAAGTCTCATCTCTAGTTACTTGGGAAGCAAACAGCCTGAAGTGGAAGATGCTGGAACATTTCCACTCTAAATCCCCATTTGATGTGGAACTTCCAGGAATTCTCTCCTTTGGGCAAAATTTCCCAGCCTCAGCCTCCATCCAGAGCAGAAAGATGGACTGCAATCAAATCTGGTTCAAGAAGTGTGGGCAGCAGCAGCTCTGTTATACTTCTGCTGTGGGGGTCATAAAGCTCCCTAACAATGGGGAATTTTGAATTGTAGGGTTAACTGAAATGGAAATTGTAGTTTAGCAAGTATTTGAATTTCCTATAGCATTGCCAGGTAGTCTCAGCTTAGTAAGCACAACTCCAAAAAGCACCAATTACAAAAAACAGGACTACCTTTCTGCTTTTCGGATTCCTTTTGACAAATAAACAAAGCAGGCTGAGATATTAATTTAAAGGAGGTGTGGCTTTATGTTTTAAGTGAAAGAGAACAAGTGCACTGAACATCAAGTTAAGAGGCTAGTGCATTAAGAAACATCATCATACTGTTTCCTGCCCACTGCTGTTTCCTGCTAAGATGGCTAAGGATGTTAAATTTAAATTAATCAACTAATCAAATAGTCGATGTAATTTGCATCAACTATTCGATTACTCAATAAGGGCACCTCTGCTTTTGAAATGTTGCTATATTTCAAAGGTGGACATGCTACGGGGAATATGGCCAGTGGGGGACTCAAGCATTCCCCCCTGCTGGCCCCAGGCTCCCTGATTTTGAAATGTACAAGAGCCTCAAGAAGGTTCTTGTATATCTCAAAAGCAAAGCATTGGGAGTGCTGGGCCAGTAGGGGACTATCTGAATCCCCAGCTCACCCTAGACTCCTGCAGCACTTCTGCTTCTGAAATGTAGCAGGAGCCCTGCTCTTGCTCCATTTCAAAGGTGGAAGCTTCACCAGTTTCCCACTATGCCCCTGCTCCTTCTCCCAATGGATATGGTACTGGGGGGGAATCAGCTTTTAAGCCAGCTCCCCCCAGCACCAGATTCTACTCCCCCTTGTTGCCTCTATCAAAGGGGGGGGGAGCAACTAGTCAAGTCATTAGTTGACTATCTGATAAGCATTTGCTTATAGGATAGTGGACTAGTCACTTAATCCCTAAAGATGTCACAGTGTTAATTAAATGACGTACTGACTGAAGGTCTTCTGCATCAAAATTCCCATAATGCTGGCAATAGGCACTGAAAATACAAGAGCATCTCATCCCCTTCCCCAAACCATTATCTCTATTCCCAACACTTCCACTAATAGGACCATTTCTGATCCAGCACATGCTGCTGGTTGGCAGACACTGAGGGAGGGGTAATATACCAGGTTCTCTCTGGGACTTCTTAGAGCAATGGCAAATGTCACCTTAGATGTGCTTTTATAGTCTGCCTGTATCTGGATTTTGGGGAATTAAACACTCCTATTGTGGAAGGTCAGGAGAAGACCAGAACTGGGCTAGGCCCCACCGTACCTAACATTGCATTGTTAATGTTCTTAGTATTCTAAAATAATAATCCCTAGATTTTATACAAGGCTTGTCATCAGCAAACTGCTTTAACAAAAGAAATGGGGAAAGCGAGAAGGGAGAGGACTAATCCAAGGTCGCACAACAGGCCCAGTAACAAGTGCCCAAATAGCTCTGCCCATGAGCCCAGGTGGCAGTGACATGAGCCGTCCTGCAGGTGCATCAACCTCCCCTGACTGGTCAGCAGAGGACTGGCTGTCTGTCCTGCCTGTCCCTTGCCAAGCTCTGACATGCAGCGTTTTGGTTACATATTTAGGATGCGGAGCGGTGGAGTGACCATCCACTTAGGCCCAGTAACAAGTGCCCAAATAGCTCTGCCCATGAGCCCAGGTGGCAGTGACATGAGCCGTCCTGCAGGTGCATCAACCTCCCCTGACTGGTCAGCAGAGGACTGGCTGTCTGTCCTGCCTGTCCCTTGCCAAGCTCTGACATGCAGCGTTTTGGTTACATATTTAGGATGCGGAGCGGTGGAGTGACCATCCACTTCCACTGTCCAAACCATTTTACCTACGCTTCCCCACGCCACAGGGTGACTGGGCCA